CTGGCTGTACACTGATTGGCTGGTAGGCGCACGGCCGGAGCTCAGTTGGGAGTTGTAGGGGATAGGAGCCACTACAATACTCCCCCTCCCCGCGCAGCGGGAGGCTGGATGTTGTCCGGGTTGCATCCCACACATACCGGGCAGGTGTACGTACTACTTGGCCGCTACGTGTAATAACTCCGTCAAGTGACACAAAACCTGTGGGAGAATTAGGGGGAGAAAGAGGGTTTGGGATTAGAGGAGGTTGTACAAGCAATGGTTGTTGTGCTCCTGTTGCTGCAGGGGCTGCGTCAGGAGGAGGGTCCATGGCAGGAGCAGGTTCTATGACAGGAAGGGGGTCTACTGTATTACAGGTGCAGGTTCTATGACAGGAGGAGGGTCCATGGCAGGAGCAGGTTCTATGACAGGAGGGGGGTCTACTGTATTACAGGTGCAGGTTCTATAACAGGAGGAGGGTCCATCGCAGGAGGAGGTTCTATTACGGGAGGAGGGTCTATGATAGGTGCAGGTTCTATGACAGGAGGAGGGTCCATGGCGGGAGCAGGTTCTATGACGGGAGGAGGGTCTATTACGGGAGGAGGGTCTATGATAGGAGGAGGGTTCTTTACAGATGCAGGTTCTATGACAGGAGGAGGGTCTATGGCAGGAGCAGGTTCTACAACAGCAACAGGGTTCAGGACAGGAACAGGGGGTACCTGAGGGTGAAAAGAGGGTGCCCAGAAATGTCGTGGGCGTGGTGTTGCTGCCGGTGGTAACTGCAGGCGTAGTTTGTTGGTGGTGCTGCTGGGCTGGGGGCCCAACGGGTAAGGTGGCCGGTTTGACTCGGTCTATGCTGACGGTGTCATGTCTGCCATTCCGGATAATCGTCAGGAACTTTGCTGAACGGGTAACCACCTGGAAGGGTCCATCGTAGGGGCGTTGTAATGGGTTGCGGTGAGCATCATGCCTGACGAAAACATACTCGGCTGTGAGTAGTGCAGGAGGGATGTGTTCAGGGCGCCAAGGAGGCTGGCGTGGAGCAGTAGCTCTGAATGCAGAAACTGCTTGTCGTAGCTTTTGGAGTAAGTCGTGACGAACGGCAGGAGTGGTTTGGTGGAGGTCAGGAGGGAGTGAGAAATCCCCGGGTAGGCGAAGGGGCTCGCCTAGTGTAAGATCTGCTGGGCTACAGTCCATATCCTCCTTGTGTGACGCACGGATGCCGAGGAGCACTAAGGGAAGCGCATCAGTCCAGCTGTAAGGGTCGTGCTGTGCCTTGAGTGGGTCCTTCAGCTGCCGGTGAAACCGCTTTACCATTCCGTTGGCTTGAGGGTGGTATGCTGTAGTGCGTTGCCTAGACGTGCCGAGGAACTGTAGGAGGTGCTGCCAGAGTTGTGACTCAAACTGGGCTCCTCGGTCAGTGATTACGGTTGCGGGGGGGGGGGCCAAAACGGGAAACCCAACCGGACATGAAGGCGCGGACGGTAGTCTCTGCTGTAGCATTGGGCATGGGAATTGCTTCTGTCCACCTGGTGAAACAGTCGATGCAGGTGAAGATGTAGGTGCTACCGTAGGATGATGGAAGAGGTCCCATGATGTCGAGGTGTACTACTTGAAAACGTCCTTTGGGAATAGGGAAGGTTTGTAAGGGGGCCCGTATGTGACGATGTATTTTGGAGGACTGGCAGGCCAGGGACTGGGCAGCCCATTTCTTAGTATCAGACTTGATGCCGAGCCAGACGACACGTTGCGTGAGGAGGCGCTGGGAGGCCCGCACACCCGGGTGGCTGAGACCATGGATGCGGTCGAAAACAGCGCGGCAGTGGACGTGAGGCATGAACGGTCTAGGCTGCCCACAGGATACGTCGCACCACAATTTTATTTTCGTGCCAGGAACAGGGAGTTCTTGGAGTGTGAGGCTGCCTTTAATGTGTTGGACGTCGCTGGATAACTCCGAGATGTAAGCCAAGTGGCGCAGGACATGAGGTGTATGTGACTGGGAAGCTGAAGCGAAGGCGTGGACGAGGGGCTTGTGATCAGTGAAGATGGTGAACTGACGGGCCTCGAGGAAGTGCTGGAAATGTTTGACAGCCAGGTATATGGCCAGGAGTTCTCGATCAAAGGCGCTGTACTTGAGTTGTGGTGGTTGAAGCCGTTGTGAGAAGAAAGCTGTAAGACAGCGCCCACTGCAGGTACTTGTGTACCATTCAGAAAACCCCAGAGCTTTCAAAAACATTAGGAAAAACCGCCTTGGTGTTATGTGGCGATCAAACCCAAAGGCTTGGGTGACCCGGAGTCTTTTCTCTGAGTGGGTGATTGAGGTGTTTGGACCCAATGTTCGGGAATACCTCAGGGAGAATAATCTTCCACTGAAAGCTTTGTTGGTGATGGACAATGCACCAACCCACCTTCCTAATTTGATGATTGAATTGCCAGAGGAGTTCAACTTCATCACTGTGCACTTCTTGTCACCCAACACACCTCTCATCCAGCCCATGGATCAACAGGCAATTTCTAACTTTAAGAAGCTGTACACAAAGGCACTGTTTAGAAAATGTTTTGCGTCCACTTCTTCCAGTGATGTTAGCTTGAAGGAATTTTGGAAGAGTCACTTCAATATAGCAGACGCTGTGTTTTTAATTGCGTCAGTCTGGAAAGAGGTTACTCTGAGGTGTCTTTGTGCTGCTTGGAGGCCATTGTGGCCTGAATGTGTGCTTCAAAGAGACTGAAGGCTTCGGAGAGTTAGAGGAAGAGGCTGTTGTAGATGAAATTGTGTCTCTGGGCAATTCCATGGGCCTGGAAGTGGATGATGTTGAGGAGTTGGTGGAAGAGCACAGTAAGGAGCTGTCCACTGAGGAGCTGCTCGAGCTTCACAAAGAAGAAAATGAGACACTGAAGCGGAGCTTAACTTCTGAGGAGTCAGGGGAGGATGAGGACAAGGAAGAAAGCCGAATCATTCCAGCCAAAGATCTCAAGGATGTGTTCATTTGCTGAAGCAAACTGTCTAAGCTTGCCGAGGATTATCATCCTGATGTTGGTGCTGTGGAAAAGGCCATCAGTGTGTTTAATGACAATGTGATGAACTACTTTTAGAAGGTCCAGAAATCAAGGTTGAAGCAGCCAACCCTGGATTCCTTCTTTAAAAAAGTAGCAAAAGACCCTACAGACAAAGTGCCTGTAAGACAGTCACCAAAGAGGGCTAGGAAGGATGACTCCTCTTCTCCATAATTCTCTCCTCCCCCCTCCCCCTCTGCCTCCTGTCCTGCATGCTGAACAACACTAAGGTAAGATAAAGTACCGTATTTTTTACATTTGCCACAGAAATTTTTTAGTGTTAAGTGGTTTTATTTGGGGGCCTGGGACGGATTACCTATAACAAACGAATGCTATAACGAACGAGGTTCTAGAACCAATTAGATTCGTTATAGCATACCCCACTGTAATCCCCCGGGTTATGGAACGGATGCATCCTTGAAAAGTTGACTGTAACATGAAATTCCATTACGTGAATTCCATTTTCCCATTGACTTCCATTATATATTTGGAGATGTTTTCCTATGGAATTTTGGTACATACAGTACAGTAGGTCCTTATGGTCCATAATTGCTTTGATAATTAAAAAGTTTTTTTCAATACAGTGGTCCCTCGGTTAATGAGCACAAGCCGTTCTAGAAGGTTGCTCGTTAACCAAAAAACTCGTTAACCGAAAACATTGTTTCAATGGGTTTTTGGGTAATTGGTTCCAGCTCACCGAAAATTGCCTAAATTCAACAAAAAAGGTAGAAAAGTACACTTACTTTGAGGTGTGTATGTAGAAGGCTCCTGGATGATGATGATGGGAATTAGAATGGGGGTGGAGGAGAAGGGAGAAGAGAAGGCATTGGGGTGGAAGAGAAGTCACCCCATGGCACCATTTCACCCATAAAATTTTAGTTCACTTGGTGTAATTCAAGATTATTTTCTTTAAATCAACACTGCACTGCATTATATATTGTCAATATGTAAAATAAATTTCAAAATGACCAATAATTTGCTTGCAAACACAGAAAAAAGCATTTAGGTGAAGAGAGTCTCAAGCAAGATGTTACCTCCACTGAAAAGACAGGGAGACTGACACCTGTTTGGTGTGTTGACAGGCTGGATGGCACGCATAAAAGTAGTTTCCTTTCCTTCAATTATGTTCAATAATTGTGAAAATGACTAAAAAATTTAATATTAAACTTTTAAAATTATTGAATAATATAAACTTCTTGATATTTACTAAAATGGTAAGGAATATAAGCCCTAGAACCGATTACTGTATTGGCGGACTAATACTACAGCTGGTGGACCGCCAAATGCAAGCGAAAACATGTTGAGGTCGGCTTGTAAGAAACTCATTAATCGAGGGATTGCTCGTTAACTGAATTAAGAATCTTATGGAAGGTAACTCGTTAACCGAAATCTCGTTAACCGAGGCGCTCGTTAACCGAGGGACCACTGTATTGTAGTTTAGAGAGTTCTAAGACACCTTTCTTCTATGACATTTTCCTTGCAAACAAGTGGAAAGGAACTAAAATATTTTCTACATTTCAGCTGGGATCTCACCAGGGTTTCTTAAATTTGTTCTAAACTTTGATGTAAAAATTACTGATGAACCTGAAATTGTACCTTATGAGCAAGCCTGTAGCATGTGCAGACTGTCTCCTGAATCATGGAGACGTTAATTAACAGACACCTAACCATGGGAGAGGGAGATGGAACACTGGGGTCTGGAACTAGAATCCCCAAATATGATCACAGCCCAAAGGACCTGGAAGTGGAGGTGTGGGCACACTAAATGTGGCATAACTTGAGCAAAGTCTTCCTGTTTGTAATGACAACCTTCACTACTTTATGATCAGTGTGTTACCTCAATCTCCTGGTCTAGGACCCACCAGCATGGTGTGACACAAGGCATTTGGACAAAAACAGACATTTTAGACTTATGTTTTCACCACTCCCATTTTTCTTAACACCTTCAATTTGAAAAGAAAAATGCTAAGATTTCTTAAAGAATTTATTTAAATTAAATCAACTTTCGTATGAATTATTTGAAATAAAATTGAGAGGCAAAGGAAGAAAGACAACAGACTAACTAATGATGAATTACCTAATATAAAAGTTAACCCTTGAGCCACCATTACTGTACTACTGTGCTGTATATATGGAGTGTGAAGTATGGACTCTGAGAGTAAGAACATATTACAAGCTACAAATGATGAGCATCAGAGCAACAAGTTGGGTTAATAATAATCAGTGGATAAATAATACATAAGCTAGGACCTGTGGTAGTAAAGCAAGTATTGGGCAGAAAACAGACCAGTGTGTAGTGAGGTGGTGCGGACATTCTGAGAGAATGGCAGTGGAAAGATTAGCTAAGGGAGGACGGGAAGACCAAGAAAAAGATAGGGTGAAAAGTGGGGGTGAAGGCTAGAGATGAAGGATGGGGTGAAGGGAAAGGACCATTAGGGAAGTACAGTAGTGACAAACATATATAACCAGAAAGCACAGCATGAAGTGAGGTCTTGCAGTGAATGAAGAGGGAGTGGTGTGTGTGTGTGTTTTCAGTTGAAGCTAACAATCCTACTTGAAAAACTGGAGAAAAGAATTTAATGAAAAAAATTCACACTCACATATACATAAAGATATATACCCGGTAACTCTCATATCACTAATATCCTCCCACTTCTAAAAATATAGAAATCTAAAATATGTTTTAATACATTTTATGGATATCTAACCATAAATCCACTTCTTTTACATATCACACTGTTCTTCACTTTTAATGAACTTCTGCAAAATTTAAAAAACCTGCAGCACACAGGACAAAATACAGTCAAATACAGTACCGTACGTAGTTCAGTAGACCGTAATGAAAGCCCTCATTATACTAGATCTGACATAACATTACAGAGGTCGACTGTGAAATCTAATTATCTTATGGTAATTACAGTAGTGTACTTGATGAGATGAGGCAGCTATAGTGATGTGCCTTGTGAGATGATGCAGTTAGCCAGTGAGAATTACCGTCGATGTGAGCTCCTTGTATTGGCGTGGCTTGTGAGGTGAGCTTATGACCTAGTGATGATTATCTGGGAACGTGATCCAGCTGTAATTGTAAGGCTTGGGAGATGTTTATGATGCAGATGAAGCTTTACAATAATGGATGAGGTATACATGATGAAGAATGTTTATTAACAAACTATGAGGCAGTCTGAATCTTTATAATAGTGGATGATGAATAAGGTCTGTAACAGAGCATGAATAGTCTAAAATACCGAGATGAATAAACTCTATGAATTAATATTAATCTTTTCAAAATGGGTGGTGTATAAACTCAATGAATTACCTCTAAGGTAGGATGAAACATTAACCTTTTAGGGATGGGTTTCTCTCAGATAAATAAAATTGTCAGGTGCCAGCCATAATAAAATACCCAAGGGATACACTGCCTACTAAAGGGTTAAATTACAGTACACTGTATTGATAGATTAATAAACTCAATGAAGTAAACTATATGTTACAATACTGTTGAGGTGTATGATATGATGGGAGAATTTTATCCCACAGGAGAGACGTATTGTTTTGTCATATACACCCTCATGAATTAGGGAATAAGGTTCAACTTGAATCTGAAAACTTGTCCAAGGATCTCTTATGACTAGATTTGTACATTAATCCCCAAATTGTTGACGTGCTTCCTCCTCTTAACCATGCGGGCGAGAGAGTAATCTGATTTGACGTTGATGCCCCTCAAGTACAGGCTGTACAGGTACTGCTCGGTCAGACGTGGGCAGAACCGTACGTCCAGGATCCGCAGCACTTTACAGTACTCCACCACCTGTTGACAAGAGGTTAGTGAACCAAGTGTCCTTACAATGAAAACGTATCACTGAAGGTAATGTACCCATTATTCTGTGTTCTGTGTTCAGTATACAGGGGGTCCCCGACTTATGAATGGGGTTAAACTTTAAATTTACAGTATTTTATTTACCTGATAACTATTATTTTTACTTTCATTTACTGTATTTTGTCATTCTATTTCTTCTTTTCTCTTAAATTTTAGATGTACCTGTATATAAGGACTTAGGCTTTGATATAGTGGGATTTTAAACATTGTTCTGTAAGTACTACAGTATGCACATAGCATGTGTTTCGACTTACATACATTTTCGACATAGGAACGTCCTCAGGAACTGAACCCGTTCGTAACCAGGAGCCCCCTTAATATATACAGTGGTCCCTCAGTTAACGAGCACAATTCGTTCCAGAAGGTTGCTTGTTAACCGAAACCATTGTTTCAATGGATTTTTGGGTAATTGGTTCCAGCTCACCGAAAATTACATACAAACAAAAAATAAATGCAGTAAAGTACTCTTACTTTGAGGTGTGCATGTAGAAGGCTCCTGGTTGATGATGATGAAGGGAATTAGAAGTGGGGGTGGAGGAGAAGGGAGAAGAGAAGGAAGTGGGGATGGAGGAGAAATCACCTTTCAGGGGACCCATGCTTGATGCAGCCATTTCACCAATAAAATTTTAAGTTCACTAGGAGTAATTCAAGATTATTTTATTTAAATCAACACTGCACTGCGCTATATATTATCAATATGTTAACTAAATTTCAGAATGATCAATAATTTCAATATAAAAATGCAAAAATATTCAAGACACCAACAAAATATTACATTTCCATATTCTCAGAAATAAATGGTAGTTTTGTTGAAACATAATGTACAATATTTAATATTAAAATGCAAAAATAGCTATAAAAACAATTAATACGCCCGTAATGTACTGGCTGGCATCTCCACTCGTCCCTGCTCCCGCGTCCAAGGTCACCACTCCTTCCAACTCGCTCCCTCCTATACCTCCTCCACCTCCTTTGCCTCCTCCACCCCCTCTGCCTCCTCCACCTCCTCACCGTCACTACTGCCAACAACGAACACAAATGTTTTGTGAATAACTGCACCTCCACTTCCTATGTACAGTACTGAACTGTACTGTGCTGTGCATTTTTACAAACAATAAACATGGCAAGAAAAGCTATTAAAAAAAGAGAGATAAAAATTTCACTTTACTGTATAGTACCTATCCTCGGCGACAGGACGGGGGTCATTGGGCTCATCGTCACTCAATTCCATAACGGGTGGTGAAGTGGGGGCGACGGTGGATTCAGCTGCTTCCTCACTGCCGCCAGTGATTGATGGTGTTAAATCTCTCCTTCGGTGATCAAAGAACATGGTAATGGGGAGTTGTCGTCTCTTTCTTTCATTTCTTCCATGATGTTTTTGTATGGAGTGAAAACATCATCCATCCCTCGCATGAATTTCAGGGCACGCACCATGGAGGGGTCCATACTATAGGCCAGGTTTTTCAGTGCCTCAATATTCCTGGTCAACTTCTCCAACGTTATTTCTTGGTGCTCTTCCTCATCCTCTTTCCCTTTCGCTTCCTCTTCCTTGCCTGAGTCTACTAACTCCTGTAGATCCTCCTCGGTCAGCTCAGTGTCGTGCTCTTCAATTAGCTCCCTAATCTCGTCCTCTGCCATGTCCTGGAAGCCTTCAGCAGCCACTTTCCTTGACAGTGCCAGGGTCTTTCTGAATATTTTCATTAAAACCCATCAAAATCATTTTCCTTGTCATCGTCTTAAGCACCAAACAGCTCCTCCCAGTCTTCTCCTTGAACAGGGCTAGAGGGTATGTGTTTTCGAATCGTTTTCAATTAAAAAAATGTTACAGCACATGTATATTTTACCTAAACTGTGCCTGAATGAATATATTCTCAGAAATAAATAGTAGTTTTGCTGAAACGTGATGTATTTCAATGTAAAATAGGATAAAATACATGACGAAAACAAAAGACTTTACCTAACCTTCCAATGTTCAAGAGATGTTACTCGTTTTTTTAATAGTTTTCGGTTAAAATACTGTTATATTACAATGATATTATATTCATACTGTGCTTGATATACTACATTCACGGAAATGTAATATTTTTGCTGAAATGACGTACGTATTAGTGGAAAGTGGGATAAAATCGTGATGAAAACAATGACTTTCGCTTTCTTTCATTCAAAGATGTTACTGTAATCGCTTTTCGAATGGTTTTCAGTTAAAAAACTGTTGCATCACAAGTGAATTAGGATAGAATATTATTGTAATACAACAGTTTTTTAACTGAAAACCATTCGAAAAGCGATTACGGTAACATCTTTTGAACGAAAGAAAGCAAGTCATTGCTTTCGTCACTTTCCACTGTAATACGTACGTCATTTCAGCAAAATATTACATTTCCATATTCTCAGAAATAAATACAGTCGACCCTCGTTAATTCAGACCCCTTTAATCCGGATTTCAGATAAATCGGACGAAATCTGAACTGTCCATATCAAATTTCTGGTTCTGGGATTGTCCCAGTTGCAATTGGGGATGCAATTTCAAATTCTGTGTCACTACTAAGAAATAACAAAGTCCCTGGTGCACTCTAAGATTAAGAGAAAACGGACGACTCAGGAGTGCTGAAGTGAGAGAAAACGGACTCCTATGACGGGGCACTCAAATAAAGAGACATGGCTACATGTTTTGTGGACTAGCCACTATACAGTATCCTTTTCATCACTTTGTAATAAACCTCGTTATGCCTATGTGTTCTGATAATTATCATAACATTATACCCTGTATATTTATATATTTAGCGGTTGTACAAACACAAGGCCTCACACATGCCATTCAGACTGACAGACTTGACAAGTTTTACCAACCATAAAGACAGTTGAAGCTTTAAACATCACTCACAATGGATCTTGAATATTCCAACTGTAATCAGACATACCTAAGTTGCCTCAACAATTGCAACCCCAGTTGCAATATCAAATTCTGTGTCACTACTAAGATATAACAGGAGTGCTGAAATGAGAGAACACGGACTCCTATGACGGGGCATTCAAATAAACATACACATAGCTGTATAATGCAATATTAACCCCTAAATCGGTTAATTCGGACAATCGGCTAAAACAGACACCCTTCCCCCCCTATTAGTCCGTTTTAACGAGGGTCGACTGTAGTAGTTTTGCTGAAACGTAATGCATTTAAATGTAAATAAGGATAAACTACATGAAAACAAAAGACTTTACCTAACCTTCCGATGTTCAAGATATGTTACTCGTTTTTTTAGTAGTTTTCGGTTAAAATACTCTTATATTAGTGATATTCTATTCATACTGTGCTTGATATAATACATTCACGGAAATGTAATATTTTTGCAACTACAATGCTGATGTCAACACAAGCGTGGTTACAGCGAGACTGACTGAGTGAGGGAGAGCTATGCGTGTGTGTGTGTGAGGTTGCGGGAGTGGGCGGTGTCCCGTGTTCGGTGCCGCGCGCGAGTTGAATGGCGCGCGATTTGAATGTACAGTACTTCAATTACTTCAATGTACAGAATATTCCTCCGGCGGGGCAATCCGCGTATTTGCAAATCCGTGTATTATAAACTCAAGATATGTTATAGGGTCACTGTATATATATATATATACAGTGACCCTCGCTAATTTAACGCCGTTAACGTAAATTTCGTTAACGCAACTGCTTCATAAGGATCTTCACCCGGTTAACTAACAAAAAATTCAAGTTAACGAACAAAAATTCGTTAACGACTTTCACTTAACCGACCAACATGTTTTCGCTTGCACTGACCGGGCAACCAGCTTTAGTATTAGTCCGCCAATACATTAATCGGTTCTAGGGCTTAAATTCCTTACTATTTTAGTAAATATCAAGAAGTTTATACTATTCAATAATTTTAAAAGTTTAATATTCAATTTTTTAGTCATTTTAACGATTATTGAACATAATTGAAGGTAAAGTGACTAGTTTAATGCGCGGCATCCAGCCTCTTAACACAGCAAACAGGTGTTAGTCTCTCTGTTTTCACTGGAGGTAACATCTTGCTTGAGACTCTCTTCAACTAAACACTTTTTTCTGTGTTTCCAAGCAAATTATTGGTCATTTTGAAATATATTTTACATTTTGACAATATATAATTCAGTGCAGTGTTGATTTAAAGAAAATAATCTTGAATTACACCAAGAGAGCTAAAATTTTATGGGTGAAATGGCGCCAAGGGGTGGCTTCTCTTCCACCCCAATGCCTTCTCTTCTTCCTTCTCCTCCACCCCCATTCTAAATCCCATCATCATCCAGGAGCCTTCCACAAACACACCTCAAAGTAAGTGAACTTTTCTCCCATTTTTGTTGAATTTAGGAAATTTTCGGTGAGCTGGTACCAATTACCCAAAAACCCATTGAAACAATGGTTTCGGTTAACGAACTTTTCGGTTAACGAACGACCTTCTGGAACGGATTGAGTTCATAACCTATGTGGGTTTACTGTATATATATATATATATATATATATATATATATATATATATATATATATATATATATATATATATATATATATATATATATATATATATATATATATATATATATATATATATATATATATATATATATATATACAAGAAAATGCAAGTAATGTTGAACAATCTTGAAATAAGTATAACTCTTGAGCTAATAAAGGAATATTATTTTGCTTTTTAAGTTGTTTATTTTTCCTTAATACCTTTATAACTTAATGGTTATAAGGTAAAACTTAAAAAAAAAATCTTTATCAATTCAAAAGTTATTCTTATTTCACTTGTCTAATACTCACCCTAAGTGCCTCATACACTTCCCCCCATAATCTAAGATGGGGACATAAAAATCTCAGAACTAAGATTGTATAATACCTTCTGTCACGTGTAAACAAGGGTGGGGCAGCAGGGGGCCATGGCCCTTGAGTGCAGGTCTTGGGGTGGGGGCACCGTCCAGATGACTAAGTGTGTTTAACATGGTGTACCATCATACTGTACTGTACTTGTATTGTACTTTCCCATAATCTTTTAAAGTAAAGCCTTAGCATTATTGGTAAGATTATTAAGTGACTTTTCAACTTTGTCCAGTGTTTTATGTGATCAGAGTATGAAGTTAGGTTTAATTAGTATAATGATGCCATGTTTTAATGCAGTTTCTTTGTCATGTTCACTCTAAATAAAAACTTGGGAAAAAAGCAACGTGATATCCCGTAAGCCAGAACAATTGGTGCAGAGCTCTTCCAGAGATGAGAGATTTAGGGGTAATGAAACAACTCTCTCAAACTTGGAAAAAAATCTCACATCCCTGAAATTTTTCCAGATACAGGAATACTGGGAAAAGTTCCAATAGTCTAAACTATGCATCTTGGACAGACAGACAGACATTTTTGCACAACCCAGAATGTTTCTGGGCGTTGGGGAAAGTTTCCGAGTCTAAACTATGCATCTCATCATCATCTCATCTCCCATGGACAAACACTCTCCCATTGCATTCAGACCACGGGCACAAGCAAAAATATTTATGGCTAGCAAAGAAGTGTATAAACTTTCACTCACAGCATCTGTTCTAATAGTGTTAGAGAAATGAATTTGGTACCATAAAGATCCTCAATAAATTATCTACAAGACAGTTCCAATAAAAGATCTTTAAACAAAATATTTCAGCATGATATAATGATGGACTCGATTCTTAAAAAAAAAAAAGTAAAAAATGTTGATACTGGAGTCAATAAAATTATTCTCGTTTAGTTGGAAACACCCTTTATTTTTACCCAAATAATCCTGAATAGTTTATCTAAAAGTTTGGTTAAATAAATATATTTCAAAAAAATCTATGATACAAACATGTGAGGCATGAATGAAGCTGTGTGTCACAGCCACAGTGGAATTTTCCACCCTGCACTCAGGAAAGTTTTCATGAGTCTAAACTATGCATCTCGCATGGAGCTGTATTTATTTATGTAAACATCTCTGTACATGTACAATATATTGTAAATGAACAAAATATCATTTGGTATACTACTGTACTGTACTGTATATACTGTACTCGCCAGCAGATGCTGTCGTCTTGAAACTACAGTTGGCATACTGTACACTGTCTATTCTACTGAATGCAATACGTAACTGTAATTTCACTTTTTATGTTATAACACTTGTGATGGAGGTGGGGTTGGGGATTAGTGGGTGTCATGTTACTGACTTGATTTGATGCAATGTCAGGTCACCCATTGTATATTAAGCTCTTCTCTCATTTGCAGTGGAAGTGGGTTTGGGTTGGGGGATTAGTGGTCTCATATTACATGTACTGTACTGACCTTCTGATGTAATGTCAGGTCTACTGTATATGGACTATGTGTAATGTAAATACAAAATATTTACAATTACTCTCCACTGGTCTTGAAGCTGAAAAGTGTGGGGACCATTGGATTGGAACTTAGTCATTTGGGGTCATACTATGGAGTCAATAGTACTTGGCAGTATGTACAATACTTAAAAGTAGTTTCATAAGATACCGTACATTAGGTTATTTTACAATGTCCCAACAGTCATCATCATCATCATAGCTGTCAGAGTACAAATAAACAATTGAAGGGAATGTGTTTTGCTTGTGAATCTGGCCATCCTGCAACACCGAGAGAGAGCTTGTAAAATTGAAAAATTAAAGCTGAGTGAACAAGGAAAAAAATGCAGGGAGGCATTACCTTCTTGAGTCCCTTATCTGTGATGTACCAGCAACTGGCCACATTGAGGTGCTCCAGGTGGGGACAGTTGGTGGCCAGGTAGTGAAGGATGGTGTCTGTTATCAGCTCCATTTTGTTCAACTCAATGACTCTAAGCTTATTACACTTGTGGAAAAACTCCCCCAGTGTTCTGTCATTTATATCCCAGCAACTGGCTGTGTTGATGTGCCTTAGTTGTGACTGGAAATAATGGCCAATATATGAAAACTGTCGAGGTAAAAATACATTCGTATTATATATTTTATGGACATGTGATTCAATTGACAAGAAGTGATGTCCAACTTAAAATGACTATCTGAAGTAAAGATGTCTCAAACATTGCACAACTGCAATGTGATACAAACTTTTTTGTCATAAGTGGATGTGCATTCTGTATTTAGTGAAATTTATGTACAGGGGTACAGTACTATCCAGGTACTTTAATAATTAACAGTTTATTGAAAAAGCTGGCAGCCAGAAGGCTGAAAATATACAGTTACATAATTGGGGAATGGGTTACTTGATTGACAAATAATATACAGGTAACATAAGTAATACAAATATTATATATAGTAACAAGGCGGGGAGAAGGTCATACTACAGGGCATTTTAATATACAGGTGCTCCTCTACTTATGAATGAGTTACGTTCCTGAGGCTTGTTTGTAAGTCCAGTTTTACTCTTGTAGATGCTAAACATATTGTAAAAAATGAAAAGATTATGAACATTTAGTACAGCTATACCCTTTAATACAGCCTTAAAACCTGGCTCACTCTTCTCCTCTTAGGTAATGTTTGTTCTATCTGGAATTTTCTTCAAAATAATCCAGTCTCATCCACATTAAACACCTGTTCTGGCCGGCAACCCCCCTCAGTGATGATGTTTGTATTTCTGAAAGTTTGTAAGTTGAATGTTCTTAAGTAGAGGAGCACCTGTAGTAACAGTACAAAGAGGTAAGCTTGGCAGGGAGTGAACACTGGCTGATTACGAGTTTGTTGATAATTTTTACAACGGTTGGGACTGGGCTGTTCTTATAACGATCAGTACATGCTCATATGGGTTGGATGCAGATTGTGGTGTCGAATAGCAATTCGCGGACGAGGGATCTCGAGTGAAGTAGGAGCCACTGTCAAGGATGGTGCAAAGCTTCTCACCAAATTTGCAGTTGAGGTTGTGGTGATGATCAGAGAGAGCCAAGAGGGACAGTGTGTTGAGCACTTCTTGATATGTAGAGTAGGAGGGGGAGAAAATAATCTTGCAGGCACCTCTTCTGCACTTTTTCTAGGTGTTTCCTTTGTGTGGCATTTAGGGAGGAAGACCAGGCAGGGGAGGCATAGGTAAGCTTAGGAAGTATGAATACTGAGTATGCACTGAGGAGCTCAGGCCATGCACAGGCCAACCGGCCTATTGCAGACTCCTTATTTTCTTATGTTCTTATGAGTCGGCAGAGGAGGTGGAGACGAAAACTGGAGGATTTGACAATTGTACTGACGTGTGTTTTCCAATTTAGTTTGTTTAGTTTGTTTTATTATCCCATGGTGTAATTCACTTTATGGGTTACCTGAAGATTCACTACCCCAGCTTATTTCACCTCATGATTAAACACCCTTGATACCTGGAGGTTAGGATAGGTTGGGTTAGCATTAGGGTGGTTAGTCTCAAGGTGAAATAAGCAAATTCATTTAAATATGAAAGAATTGTTATCGGCTTCAGCAACTAGAGGGACTGTGAGTTTACAACAACTTCCGTATATTGAGGACAGATGTTTCATGTATGGGTGTTGCTGGATTATGTGGAGTGACAGGGATAAACCATTAAGGTCTTACAGCCTTGTTGTGGAAGAGGAACACTACAGTAGACAACATCTGTTATAAAAGAAAGACTCGAGTTCTTTCCATGTTATATCGTGCAAACACTCCTCGGGTTACCGATGGGTTATATTCCTGGAGGCTATCCATAAGCCAAACGTGACCCTTCCATAGGTAATCATTGAACATACATGGTACACATTATGTTTATGAAATTTCTATACAGGTATGGGACCATTTATTTGGCATGCTTGGGACCTGGAGATTGCTGGATAGGGTCTTTTATTCTAGAATTTGGAGTGCCAGGCCTAAATTGTACAAAATGCCTGTGAAGACTGTTCTGATCACTAGATTTACCCCTAAAAGTAGCTTTAACTGTACACGGTAACATTAAAATTGGAGGCATATAAACATCAGTAACAAAAGCATATAAATAGCATTAATGAAAGCATAAAGAGAGCAAAAATGATATAAGTTAGTGTTCAAACTGCTTCACAGTCACCCCTCGTGCTCCCCTTAGCAACAGTGGCGGGCCACGGACCCTCTGACCTCCACACACACTTTCACAATGGAAGCCTGTAGATATTTGAAACTTTATATGTACCTTATGATAATTATTCATATTTGCACTTTCTGTATGCAGGATTGTGTATGTACGTAACTGAGTAAAAAAAAAAATTACATATACTGTATCCACTTGAAATTACGAGTGAAAATGCAGTGTCCATAAAGTCCTGTTCTGATTTTAACCATTTATTACAGTGTGTAGCAAGATAATGACATGTTAATCAGGGGTGTACAGGATAATACTAAACAGACACAAAAGTAGATGAAACATGTGTATTTCTCACTGGGTTTGAGTCCTGGCCCGGAACAGAGGAAAAAGGGTGTTATCCAGTGTGATACTACCAAACATTGCAAGATTGCTCCAGGTACTCAGGTTCCCTCCTACACTAATAGTGGATAGTCATCGCTCTAACAAAGTACTGTAACAAAGAACTGACCAATTGCCCAAATGGCTAGGAAGATGGTAATTGGTGAAATGATAAATAAAAAGTACAGTATTACCCCGCCTAACGCGGTTTCACTTAACGCGTTTTTTCATATATGCGGTGCCTCGCCAGAGCTGAACTTTCACTTAACACGGATTTTTTCCACATATACGCGATGAGTGTCCGGCTGGAGACGCTATTTTTAGATTTGCCCCACCCGCCACCCACCACCCTGCCTGACTGCCTGTTTTAGCTCATAAAATTCATACAAATTACCCGGCCAGAATATAATTTACATTGCTGGAATTCTTATAATTTGGTGATCATTTTGAATATAAACATCATATATTTTGCATTAGACATACAAATTTTAGATAAAATTTTTTCTCTGAGTAAATATGTTATCTTTTGTGCAAAATATATGACATTTATATTCAAAATATTCCTGGTCTTACAAGGAATCCAGCAATGTCAATTATATTATCCTAACTTTAGTTTGAGGTATTATTTATTACAAAATGTTAAATATTCTGGTTTTCCCACACATCTCCTTGGGACGGTTGGTGGGGGGTGGGGGGAGGGAGGGACCGACCGACCATCTGTTACCCTGTGAAGAATATTTTTTTTTTTTATTAACTGAAGATATTTGTTTTAGCTCATAAAATTCATACAAATTACCCGGTCAGAATATAATTTACATTGCTGGAATTCTTATAATTTGATGATCATTTTGAATATAAACATCATATATTTTGCATTAGACATACAAATTTTAGATAAAATGTTTTCTGAGTAAATATGTTATCTTTTGTGCAAAATATATGACATTTATATTCAAAATATTCCTGGTCTTACAAGGAATCCAGCAATGTCAATTATATTATCCTAACTTTAATCTGAGGTATTATTTAATACAAAATGTTAAAATTTATTTTTTTCACCCACTCTTTCTCTTGGTGGGGGGTGGGGGGGAGGGTTGGGACTGACCACGCGGTTGGAAGAGGGGGGAGGCAAGGTGGGGTACTTTGATTGACAGATAGTGTCGTGAAGAATATTTTTTTTTTATTAACTGAAGATATTTGTTTTAGCTCATAAAATTCATACAAATTACCCGGCCAGAATATAATTTACATTGCTGGAATTCTTATAATTTGGTGATCATTTTGAATATAAACATCATATATTTTGCATTAGACATACAAATTTTAGATAAAATGTTTTCTCTGAGTAAATATGTTATCTTTTGTGCAAAATATATGACATTTATATTCAAAATATTCCTGGTCTTACAAGGAATCCAGCAATGTCAATTGTATTATCCTAACTTTAGTTTGAGGTATTATTTATTAAAATTTAGTGGTTTTCCCCTAAAAATTTCTCAGAGAGGGAAGAGCCAGCAGTGTAGTGTGAGAAGAGGGGGAGGGAGTTGAGTCCATTATTTGAATGGACATTAACTTGGCGACTGTATTTCTCTATTTCTCTTAAGTATTAATTGTGTGCATGTACCATCATAAAATTAAGATGTTATTTTTACTACAACATAGTTATGTGTCTTCAAAAAGTGGAGTTTGGGGGTTGGGCTGGTTTTTATTGGAATTAATCCCATATGTTCTGTTGTTCACTTAACGCGGGACCCTCTGGGTTCTATTGACCGCGTTAAGTGGGGTACAACTGTACCATGATGGGAGGAATAACAGGGAATGGCTCACCTGGTGCTGGGTAATGACCTGCCAACACCCCATGCTGAACCAGTTACCACAATTCCCCACCAGCAGAGTCTGTAAATTCTTGCAGTTTACCACCAGAACCTGTAACACATAATACCAGCTTATAGATACTCGCACCAACTGTATTTGTTTTCTAGGTTCAAAAACTGTACATGAAATAACATGTATCACCTGAGGATTAGACACTAGTTTATTTCACCTGATGATTAAATACCCTAATGCTATGTTACGTGAAGTTAGCATTATCTGTGATAAATTAGATAATTCCTTACTATTGATATCTGGTAAAACATCATTCAAATACCCAATACAGTAAGTCCTCACCTACCATTGTCCCAGTTAACATTGCTCTGTTATTACATCGATACTATTTTTATACCATGGCTCCACAAAACGTTGTGTAAAATTGTTATTATGTTGTCAGTCAGATGGTACTATTTGCTCCACACAGCACTTTCCCTCGCCTGCCTAGTGATGCTGTACAACGTCACTGTTCTGTGTAGTGTACTTTGTATTCACCTTGTTTACGTTGTTGCTCTACTTTGCCCAAGTGCTGATTGCAAAATGAAACAGAGAAGCATTAGTCTGGCAGTGAAGACAATGTTTACATCGCTCTGAAGCCAGTGAGCGTGCTGTTAATATAGGGGTAGCGTTGGGATTACCCATTACCATGTTGCATGCTATTCGTGATAGTGCTGACAAAATTAAGATCAGTGTCAGAAGTGCTTCGTTTATGAGTGCTATAAGGGAAGTCACACTCATAGTGGAGTGATGGAGAAAATGGAAAATATGTTCGCAATGTGGACTGAAGACCAAAATCAACACGATGCCCCTGTGAGTTTGATTGTTTTGCAACGTAAGTCTTTGTTTGATGACTTAAAGGCCAAGGAAGGTGAAATCTCTAAAGAGGAAGAGTTTAGTGCCAGCTGAAGTTGATTTCAATATTTTAAGCAATGGTAAAGTTTTTATAATATCAAAGTGACTGGTGAGGCAGCCAGTGCTGATACTGTATCTGCAGAAAACTCCATCCCAGAGTTTAATGTTGATGAGACCAGGCATTTTTGGAAGCATATGCCTGAAGGATATACATTGTCCAAGATGAAAGGACTGCTCCTGGCTTTCAGAGATGCAAGGATGTTGTCCCAACTGTTAACTGTGACATCTTGAGCTTGGCACGTGAGACATGTTTTGAGAGTTGAAGAGTGAGGATATTGATAAGGTGCTTACTTCCCATACCGAAGAGTTGATTAATAAAGATTTGAAAGTGCTGGCTGAGAATTGTGAAGAAGGCAGTGATGATGAAGATGATGTTGTAGCTCCCAGAATTTTGACCTAAATGCATGTCTTTAGCATTCAGTCGTATAGAAGAAAGACTGGATATGCTGGCTGAAGATGACCCGAATAGGGAACATAACATTAATGTGTACTGGAATGTCATGGAGAATTTTCGGTGCAGTTAATACTGGATGCTTTTCTAAGGGAGGAAAACAGACAGCAGAAGAAGAAGCACAAGATGATCCCCAGGTAATAGGGGAGGGAGGAAGACCCTGTTAGTCAAAGTAATTCCCGCCACCCTCCCTTCCACCGCTCGCTCGCTTCACCTTTGGCCATCGGTGAGTACAATACAGTACAGGCATCCCCCGCATTACGGAAGGGTTGTGTCCCTGGAAAATTGACCGTATCGCGAAATTCCGTCGAAACCTATTTTCCCATTGACTTTCATTATAAAACTGGAGATGCGTTTAAGGATTTTTTTCGACCCCAAAAAAGTAATTCAAGCACTTTTACGAATAAAAATAAACATTTATAAACACATACAATACAGTATATCAAATAATTTATGATATACATGCAATATGAAGAGAAATACACTTCTATGAAAATACAAGGTTCGAGCAGTTAATGGAGTAGCTGCTTGAGCACTTGACCTAATTTTGTCCTTATTATCACGGATTGTTCCCACTGTTGAAGTAACAAGACCTAATGTTTTTGCAGTCTGGCTAAGTTTTTCTCCAGCATCAAGCCTTATTTAAACATCAAGTTTAATATCCAATGTAATGCCTGTGGCTTCTTTTTGCACTACTACGGTCACTTCCACTTGATGGCCTCTTTCCAGTCATCTTGAATAAGGGAAATGCACTGTACTGTACTTACTGTATGTTTGTAAAAGTTAAATCCAACTGCTGGGGCGAAAAACATGCGTGCACACTGGATGTAAACAATAGAGTGACTCCGCGTGGCGCCGCCACGCTTCGCGGTAGCAAACACCAAGAAAACCACACCAAACAAATTATAATTTTTAACAAAAAAATTAAATTTTATAGTGATTTTTTTTTAATTGTTAAAATTTACCCCAATTTCCATAAAGGCGGATTTACTGGCTGTATCGCGAAATTACTGGTCATAATTTACGAATTCCGTAAGAGCAAAATTCTGCAACCAGGGGTTCCGTAACACGGGGGTTGCCTGTACTGTAAAAAGGTGTTGACCACTATTCGATGGATCTCTATATGATCAGGAGAAACCAGAGAGTTACTGGAAATTCTTTTACACCAACAACAATAAAAAATAGCATGTTATTTTACCTGTAAGAAGTGAACCAACAATACCATCATAACCACAGAGAACCATAAGATAACTTACCTCAGAGCAGGAACAGTAATGGCAAAGCTGACTTTGTCATCTTACCTGTAGTGATAAGCCATTAAGACCCTCACAGCCACACAGGTCAACGTGAATCAGCCGTGAGTTTTTCTTGAAAAGTGCAATGAGTGGAGGGTCCTTCACCCAAGGACACCAGGCCACTGAAAACCATCTTAAATTTTGACAGAGTTCAGTTAC